TCCAAAGTCTTATTTCCTGCTTTGTTCCAGAATTGTTTTTAGATTTTCATTATAAACTTAATGGTTTAATTTGGAATATTTGTTTACAATGAGTGTGTATGCATTTTGTAAAAATTCCTAGATAAGGAGAGCAAAGGGGACAGTCACTAACAAGTGGCTGTCCTGAGCATAGAACACTAACGTGCACTTTCTTCAGTGGACATGATGATGTGGAGTCCCCTACAGGACCTGAGTGTGGACAGCTTCTGATAGACCTCCTTGCACCTTGGGCCTCAGAAGAGAAGCAGCTGCCCTCAGACCTGCTCCCACCCCCTGGGGCTTCCTGATGCTACAGCACAGACACACTCAGGACTCACCTGTTTCTTGGAGTGGCTTGAAGCACCAGGGCACTTCAGGGATGCTGGAGTCAAAACAGCAGCCTCTGTTGTTACACTGCTCTGGGGTGACCTGGGGGTAGCCGCAGTCCACCCTGTCCTTGGCCGGCACGACACACTGGTTCGCCGCTGTCCCAGACAAAGCCCGGTCAGTGTCTGGAGCACTTACAGGCTGGGGTTGCTTTCTTTGCTCCTTTTGCAACCTCCCACTTTCCAACATCTCTCCCCCAACTCCCTCTAGTCCTGAGTTTGTATGATGATGAAACAAACCAAACTCATTGAGTCCATTCCAATGTGTGACAAGATACAACTGTGTTCTGGAGGGATGTGTGATTTGAGGGGGAAATTTAGAGAGAAAACTGGTTTTCCATTCAACCCACTTATACATATTTTGTTTTATGACATTAATTGCAATATTTACAATGTAACCACACTCTTCCCACTTCCTTCCAATGATTCTCATTTCCACTAATCTTTCTGTCTTGCCTCTTTCTGCCTTCTGAGCAAACAATGGTATTTTAACTTTATATAGTTCATCTGGTGGTGTTTGTTGTTCACATGATAGACCTGTCTATTGTTTGACTGAAAGTTGAGACATGGGTGAGTTTTCTGTCAGGTTCAAAAAGTCTGTAGAATTTTCTTGACCACAATCACCACTTCTTCAATTAATAACTGAGCCCTAACTATTTATGCCACCCACACACTCTAAAACAAAGAGAAATTTATGTTAAATGCTAAACCCTGCTTTCTCAGCGATCCAGGAAGCATGGGCAGTAGGCCAACATGTCTCTGTGGGTATGTTTCCCCTTACTTTGTCAGGATGTGAAGTATGGCCTGGGTGCCCTCCAGCTGACAGGGGCCGGTGGAAAGCCAAGATCCTCTGAATGCAGAAACAAGGTTCCCTTTCACTGTTTCATTAAACAAAACTTGCCCTGATCTTTTTTTTTAAAACAAACAAACAAACAAAACACAAACAAACCAAAAGTATTTCTACACTCACTGAAAACATCGAAGGATCTCTGGCGACTTAGAGGTAAGAAGCTGCACTGCCAACCCAAAGGCACTTGTTTCGAATCCCTGGGCTGCTCCATGGGAGAAAGATGGGAAATCTCGTCCTGTGCAATGTACAACATCTAAAAACCCACTGGAGAGTTGACTGTGAGTCCATTCCAACTTGAGGGTACATAACAACACCAGGAAACATCAAGCAAGCACTGGGCACCTCATCTGGAGGCATTTGCACTGTTATCCCAAAGACAGCTTCTCTGACCATTTTAATCCACCAGTAACTCCCTGGAGGAAAGTGGACAATTTCCTCCTGTGTGATTTACAGCCTCAGAAGCACAGTGGAGAGGGTTAGCTATGAGCTGGTTCCACCTAGACAATGAGCAAGTGAGAAAACATCAAAGAGCTGTGATTGCGTGGTGGTCACATACGTGCTCTGCTGTTAACTGAAAAGTTCAAGTTTGAAACGACAAGCTTCTCTGAGGGAGAACAATGTGGCAATTTGCTTCTGCAAAGATGATAAACCTCAAAAAACATAAGGAGTGTTCCTTCTCTGTTCTTCAGGGCCATGAAGGAGCAACACCGTGTGTGCTGATTACAGTTCATTTCTTCTCTCCATCTTCCTGTCTCTAAACTGAGCTTCTCTGCATGAACTTCAGTCTTCAGTACTTATTTTTAAAATAAGCCTATGTGTTTAGCAAGACTCTCGTAACCGTGTTTTCTCTTAAGAAAGCAGAAAAGATATGAAATTTCGTTAGTTCTCTTCTCTCACTGCTAGTTCATCAGGCCCCGTGCTGGTGGTTCCCAAGCTGGACTGCTTGTGGGACCGCCTGGGGACCTTGAGCACTGCGTCTCTCTGGCTGCCACTGTGACATTGCCGAGTAATCCATCTGCTGTGGTCTAAGCAAAGTTGCTCTGGTGGTATAGTCTGTAGGGAGCTGCACTGCTCACCCAAAGGCAGCACCTCTCTGGTAGTTCAAACACACCGGCAGGTCTACAGAAGGCAGACGGGCAATCTCCGCCTATGTGATTTACTGCCACTGAAACCCAGTGGTGGGCCAGCTAGGAGTTGGGTCCAGCTCAGTGGCTGAATTGAGTTGAGAGGCCTGAGCACTAGCAATTTTCCGAGCTCTCTAGGTGTTTCTCAAGTTAGAGATCACTCACACTGCCTTTTGTCTGTTCAACAAACGGCCAAATAAAGTCACACCTCATCTCATCTAACTTGGATGAAAGCAACACGTCTCCTTGAAGTTGAATAGAAAGACTCAGTGCAAACAGGGTTCTTTCTTCTCTAGGACACATGGAAAAGACTCCAATTTTCTATTGTTTTTACTTTTTGTTTTGTAAATGTACCCAAAGGATGTCCAAAGATGGATTATAATGTTAATACCTTTGTAAAAAAACCCAAAAAAGCAGGGGGAAGGAGGGGAGCTTGCTGGAATTCAGGCAGTGGAGAAGGAGGTTCACTGGGGGCGCCTGCTGCAGTATTGACTTGGACGTTGCCTTTGTTAAGAATTCTGAGCCTTAGCTTCTTAGTCTATAAAGTGGGATGTTTTGTTCATAGGGTCACTATGAGTCATACCTAATGGCACCTTACAACAACAGCTATACCCCTTTGTAAAATCCTTGTGAAAAACATATATTTAACAGAAAATCATTTTGTAAAAATGCAGCAGCAGGGAGGACATTTTTCTGACTCTCAAGCCACAGGCTGTTTCTCCATGTCTTTTCCCCTCAGGGTACATCCTCCCTGCCCACCAGTGGCCCTTCTTTCAGAGGTGATACTCACACAGGCCGACATACTCCCCAGTGGAGCTGGAAAACCCCAAGGCCAGGACCACGGCCAGCAGCCAGATCGCTCGGGCCTCCATGGTGGGGGCTGGGACCGAGGCACAGCGGGCTGTGTGGCTGGGTGCTGACACAACTTTATACCCGGTGTTTGCACAGGCTCCTCCCCCAGCCTCCAGCTCCGTCTGCTTTGCTCCTAGACCAGGTTTTAAAGTTCTCAGAAGGATATTGCATCCTACAGGGGAGAGGGTGGTTCCAAGGCCACTGTTTGTATGGTAGGAGGTCACTCAGCAGGGTCAACACTCCTTTCTGGGGGAGCAGGGCGGGGTCAACCACAGGATCAGCCTGGACCAGCAGGACATGATAAGAACTCCACGTGGGGCTGCACAGCGCCATCAACAGGTGCTGGCTGAGACATTGTTCAATGACAAGAGCTCACAGGGTCACTGAAGGTGGATGGGTCTCTGAGACTTGAAAGGCAAGAGTTTACATATCAGCAGACAGGAAATCTGGGGTTTCATTTTTCTCTCACTTAATGTGAGAGGCAGCAATTTCTCTAGTTTTACCTATTTCAGTAAAACCAATTTACTAGCTCCATTTCAACAAAAATGTTAAATAAACTCATTAAGTTCAGTTGCTGTCAAGTCATCCCCTTAAAAGTGCTCCGACTTCCCGTTAGGGGTGAAGAATGTATAAATTCTGGAGGAACAAGGCAGGGTGTGGCTCTCCCAGGTTTCACTGCACCCATCTTCCCAGGTGACCAGGGCCTCCCCAGAAGCCTCTCTCGGAAGTCTCTCAGGTGGACTTTGTACATAATCCCAGGAGCTAGCCCACCTGGCTGCTCCCACTTGGACATCTGAGAACTCATGGGAGGACCTGAGTTCCCCATGGGGACACGGAAGCTGTCCTTCACCTCGTGACAGTCAGGAGCCAGAGGGTAAACATACGGGGAGTCAGAACGAGTTCCACCTCACTCAGGCTGTGTCTGCGCCTGGTGCCCTCTGAACCCCGAGACCACACCAGCCCTGGCACTCAATAAACCTTCCAGGAATCTATTTGAGTCAACATGCGACATATGGTTTGCCACTCCTTTTCAGGGTGAGCAAAATAAGAAAAGAGAAAGCCATCTCCATATTGCTTGAGTGAGCTCAGACTAAGGGCTAACACAGGCTTACTGTTTCAGAAAGATCCTCACTGGGGAAATTCTCTTGATGTGTGTTCTCACCAGATCCCTGCCATGCCCAAGCTACAGTATTCAGAGGTCAAGTGATAGGGTCAAATTGGGTCCTGGTCCCGGGAAATGTGAGCACCCGGAATCAGGCTGACACACTTTCAGCCCTGGTTCTCGGGGAAGCGGGTGGGCACTGTATTCCCAAGAGCAATGCCTCCCCAGTGCCATCCACCCTGCTCAGAATGTCCTGAGGGCTGGAGTGCCTGGCTCTGAGGTCAGGAAGCTCAGAGTACCAGAGAGAGACCCCAGCCCGTGGTCCTCGCTACCCCAAGGACCACTGCACTCGTGTTTCTTCTGTGTGACTCAGGGAATGCCAACTGACCCCCAACTTGTCAGTGCTTAGGAACTGAGGCTGAGGGAAGAGGAATAGAGGGGACACACTCCTGTCCTTCAAGAGTCTGCAGCGGGGGAGACAGTGTTTTGTAATTGATACTATGAAGCCAACTGAACTGGTTCCAAGTCCTGGGCTGTGTGCAGATCCCGTAGTCACTCCCTCATGCCTCAGTTTCTTAAACTGTAGAATCTTTGGAGCCAAAGTGGGGGTATGAGGGACACACGGAACACCTGCCAGGTCCATGATGGTGGTGGTGACAGAGACAGACTCACAGGGTGGACATGGGAGAGCTGAGATCAACCTCACTAGAGGAAGAGAGCACAGGCTTCTTATGGAAAGGGGCCTGGAGCTGGGCTTCTGAAGAAGAAAGCAGCGGAATAGTGTTCATGGGGGCAGAAGTCCCTTGGTTGCACAAAAAGGTTAAACACTCTTTGATAATAACCAAGAGCAAAGGTTGTGAGTTTGAGTCTACCTAGAAATGGTTCAGAAGAAATGCCTCATAACCTACTTCCAAAACATGAACCGTGAACACCCTGTAGGGCACAGTTATGCTCTGATAGTGGGGTCTCCATAAGTCATAGGGACTCGCGGGCAAGTCTTTGGTTTCTCTGTTGGTGCAGGGCACTGTGTGTGTATTAACTCCTGTGGAATCTGGTGAGGCCCTGTCAGGAACCTGGGGCCATCTAGGGATGACAAAGACCAGGGACAAGAAAAGCCCCTGCCATCAGGGGTCTGCAGGCTGGAATTGTCCTCATCTTCTTCAGGAGGGGGCACCTCGAGTCCATTGATAAAGGGAAGCCGATGCGAGAGCTGGAGATCTGCAGGTCCCTGGACATTGGGCTCCACTCCAACACGTGACTGTGTAGGTGCCCTGAGGTTTGGGAAGACTAAAGACACTCTCCTTCCTCCCCCAAACAGTGTGGGTTTACAGCTATTGTCCAGCTGTGAGCATGGACTGTTCCGGTAACCAGACCTAAAACCTTTCTGTTCTGGTCTTTGTGGGCAGATGTCTAGGGAAGAGAGCTCCTGGAGAAGCTCAAAAGCAGACAGTGAAACTCTAGGTTCTCCAGCTGCAGCTTCCCCCTCAGCAGCACATGGCTGTGAACATGCTCATAACAGGGTCGTGCTGAGTGTGGACCTCATGTTAAGTGATCATCCTGAGATGCTGAGTTCCTTAGACACGAAGCAGAGGCCTTTGACTTCAGGGAGCCATTTTCAGCAAGAGAAAAAAAATGTTCAGGTTGGTAAACAATGTGTGGATCCCATAACATGCTATACATCCAGCTTCTTACAGGAGGTGAAAGCTGAACTGGGTTTTGAGGGATGAGCAGGAGTTCACCAGATTAGTGAGGGTCATCGGGACCTTCCAGGCAAGCAGGTGCTCTGTTTACTTGGCACTAAATCACCACTCAGACATCTAGGCTAATGTGTAGGGATAGCACAGCCCATATAAGTTTACATACTCCATGTCATTTCTTGGTTCTCTACTGTTGTCTATCACTCTTGGTTGCACAAACTAGCAGGGAGCCGGGTGGGGAAAGAAGGTACAAGGTCATGTTCAGGACAGCACTGGGTTGGTCCCAGCCACACTTCTCCCTTTCCTCTGACCAGATGTCAGCTTGTTTGGCAGCTGACTGGAGTTTGACTCCCTCTTCAAGAGTTTACTCCTGCCTCTTAGAGATGGTCTTCCAGACCTTTCGAGGGAAGTCAGAGCCTCCATACAGAGTAAATATAGATGTTTGGGGGAAACACCTGGCTGACTGAAGCATGCAAATGAAAACTTAGATTAACTGTAAGGGGGAAGGTAAAAGACTGATGTCCCAGTGACTTGGGACCAAGGGCACTGGCTCTCAGGGGCCCCCATGGACTCCGGATCTCCTAGCCAGGTGCTGGATCAGTTCTCGCTTCCCCCATATCAAGAAGATGCACAACAGCCTTGAGAACACAACATCCAGCCATGGATATATCTCGTGCTGCTGTAGTCGCCCACCTTGAAAAATGGTGTCCAAGTTCAAGGCTTCTCTTGGTTTAGAAAAATTACTGCATCAGCCCCGTGTGTTGCTACAAAGTAAGCTTCCCAGTAGCTTGCCAGCTGCTGAGCAGAAAACCGCAAGCAGAGAGGAGTCAGGAATAAACACACTGGTAACCAGTAACAGACGTGGAAGTGGCCACTTGGTTCTCAGACCAGCCACCAGCCTTTGGAATAAAGACAGGCCAGGGGACTCCAACAAAAACCAGAGTCCTGGGTCCCAGGTCACTGCCCAGGTGCACCTCTGAGAGGGAGACTGGATGCCACATGCGTGTTTGCACGTGGCGCGGGCCGGCCATCATCACTGCCATGAGCTCTGTTCCCTGGAGGCCAGCTGGGGAAGGCTCCTACTTCAGAAGGCCAAACGCAAAAGATGGTGAGGCCAGGACGCTGTCAGGGGATGCCAGGTCAGCTAGGCCCTTCCACCCACCAGGCTGCACAAGTCAGCACTCCTCTTCTGCTCTGGATCTGTTGTTTGTAAATCAAGCCATTATCACATAGTGATTTCCAAGGAACTCCTGACTTGAACATTCATTTCTCCTGTTGTCTCTCTTGAAAGGGACAGAAGTGCTTAGAGAGCTCTGCAGGTGTTCCCTGCAGGACCCTGTCCTTGCTGCTTTGCCTCAACCTTGAGAAGCTGGTAACTTCCTTCTGAGTCTCACCAAGACTATGTGTCCATTCTGTTCCCATCCCACACCCTTCCATGGCCTTAGTAGGGGTCTTGCTGCAACCCTCTGTCCTCCCCGGACATTTGATTGTTGATCTCTACAAATATCATGGACTTTAATCACTCCTCAAATATTTGTTGAATTCCTTCCCATACTCCCACACGTCACCCAATTACACCCCATGGGGTCTTTCATTCCCATTTCCTCGTGGACAGGAGGCTAAGACAACAGTGCAGAACTCGTATTTCCTGATGACAATGGGAATGAGGCTCTGCCCAGTGAAGGGCAGGGCATTGAGCAGTTGGTTGGTTCCCAAGACCCAGGAAAGAACCCAGGAAGGTGACTGTATATATAATTAATTGTCCAAGCCAGAATTCATGGGCTGCTATTAATGAAGCCAGGACAACAGGCATGCACCAGGTGAGACCCTTTGCCGCCCTCTCCTCTCACTGGGCTGCAGTCATTGCCTGAGCCCACTTGCAGGGCCGAATGACTTTGAAAGACAGAGGGTACAGGTGCTCTTCAAAACTCTGGAAACAAAGATCCAGGCCAAGTCACTCCAATGTGAATCTTCTATGATCTAAGATGTGTGGCTGTGCACTGATGGGGAGTGGGTATGTGTACATTGTTGCTGGTTGTAGGTGACTTTGGTAAACCAACCTCACAGATCAACAGGTCTTTCTCTTGGTTTGAATTGCCAGCCTTTCAGTTAGAAGTGAACACTTAACCTTTTGCACTATCAGGGCGTTTTAGACAAATATGCATATATTGCTGTCGTTAGGTGCTGTGGAGTTTACTGCTACCCACATGAATACAAGATTGATTGAAGCCCTGCCCTCTCCTGTGCCGTCGTCACCGTCTTAGCCTTGCCCACGCCCATTGTTGCTGCTGGTGTGTCAGTCTAACTTGTGGAGGGTCTTTGTCCTTCTCACTGACCCGCACCTTTTCCAGAATGATGTCTTTCTTTTTCCCAGGACTGGCCCCTCCTGCCAACATGCCCCAAGTATGTAAGATGAAGTTTTACCCTCCGTGCCTCTAAGGGGCATGCTGGCTGCTCCAAGACAGATTGGTTTATTCTTTTGACAGCTCATGGCACTTTCAATACTTTTCACCAACAGCACAACTCGAAAGCATCAACTCTTCTACATTCTTCCTTATTCATTGTCTACCTTTCACATGCATAGGACACAACTGAAAAATATGAGGCTTCAATCAGGCACATTTTGGTGCTTAAACAGACATCCTTGACCTTTGGAACTTTGCAGAACTCCTTGACAACAGAATTCCCCAAGCAAAACTTCTTTTAATTTCTTGACTGCTGCTACTATGTTGATTGTGACCCAAGAAAAACGAAGTCTATGAAACATCAGTCTTTTTTTCATTTGTCATGATATTGCCTGTGATTCTTGTTTTCTTGATGCTGAGGTGTATTCCATATTAAAAGTTGTAATCTTTCATCTTCTGTAGTAACTACTTTAAGCCTACTTGCTTCAAGCAACAGTCTGTCTCTGTGTAACATAGGTTATTGAGGACTCTTCCTCCAATATTGATATTACATTCTTCTTCTATATAGTCCAGCTTCTTTGCTCAGTATACAGATTGAATAGCATGGAGATAGGATACGACTCTAATGCATTTCCTAAAGTATACAGTATTCCCTGTTCTCTTGGAGCATCTGTTTCTTGGTTTATATATAGGTTTGACATGAGTAAAATTAAGTGCTCTGGCATTCTCATTCTTCTCAACATTGTTGTTGTTACTACGTGCGGTTGGGCTCATAGCAATCTTATGAACAAATAATCTGAACCTTGTGACATCCTCATCATTTCTGAGATACTTGAGCCCATTGTCACAGTCACTATGTCAATCCATCTCTTAAAGGGTCTTCCTCTCCTTCACTGACCACCTACATGTCCAAGTATGATAACACTTTCCAAGGACTGACTCCTCTTAACATGTCCAAGATATATGAGACCAAGTTTCACCAACCTTTCCTCTGAAGCATTTTGGTAGTATCTTCCCAAGATGGATTTGTTCTTTTAGCAACCCATAATATATTCAGTACCCTTCTCCAACACCACAAACCAAAGGCTTCAATTCTTCTTCTGTCATTCTTAGTCATTATCCAACTTTCAGATTCATAGCAAGTATTTGAAAAGATCGTTACTTGAATCATATACACCTTGGTCTTTGAACTGACCTCATTGCTCCTTGACACCTTGCAGATGTCCTTGATTATAGATTTTCCTAATACCACATGTATTTTATTTCTTTACTGCTAGCACTAACAATGTTGATTGGATCCAAGCAAGATGAAATTGTTGACTACTTAAATATTTTTTTTATCTAACATGTTGTTGCCTATTGGTCCCTTGGTGAGAATTTTTATCTTCTTGATAGTGCAATTAATCCGCATTGAAGGCTGTCGTTTTTTATAGTCTGTAGCAAGCATTTCAAGTCCTTTTCACTTTTTACAACCAAAGTTATGTCATCTGCATAAAGCAGGTTGTTGATGTCTTCCTCTGATCCTGATGTCACATTCTTCTTCATAAAATGTAGGCTCTGAAATGATTTGCTTAGCATACAGATTGAATAGTTATAAAGAAAGGACCCAGCCCTGACAGACACCATTCTTGAGTTTGAACTATATAGTGTTCTTT